TAGTGTTTGTAAGTGTTCTACATCTTCGGTATATCCCGCCATTTGCCGCTTTGTCTAATTAGATGTTGGTCATTCAGGCACAAAGGGTTGAGACGTCACAACTGATAAAAGCTAGTGAAGTACACCTCAGGCTTGTTAAAAAAAGTCGTTGACATTTTCTCCTGATCGAACATTTTCACGGTGATTCGGGAATTACTGATTGCCTGCATGCGTGCTCCTTGCCCGCGTTCATTTCGCCAGCCAACGAAATCTTTGTTTACCCACAACAGTAGCTATGTAGTAATTGAAAAAAAAAATGTTTTCTCTGGGAAGAAATTCAAGAGGGTTTCCACATAACACTGAAGAATGTCTATGATTATTATGAATGAAATAGTATGATTGCTGCGAGATAATTTGAAAGGAACCAATTTGATAAGTCAAAAATTTACCTTCTGCAGTGCTAGTATACATAAATATATCCCTCAGCCGTTGTAGGCTTTGCGGACTCTTTAAAATAGCATGGTATAAAACTATAAATCTGTATAAAGATCAAACTCCTATATGTCATTGTCTTTCTTTAAGTACGCTTATACAATTTGTGATCCTGTTGATATTAAAGAAATTGCCATATAATTTTAGAAGAATTTTAGAAATAGCAAAAACAAACAAACAAACAAACAACTTGGTGTTTTCTGGCGCGATGGTTGTGTTAGCGTGTCACGCGGTTTGTTTTCAGGAGAGTTGCGTGACGGCTGAACGACGGTCGGCGGCTGGGCTAGTCACAAAGCTATTCACAAAGATGTCATCCTCTCTTCCCCTTGTTCTTTTCGTTCCGCATACTATAGGAAAAGCACTAGGGGCTAGAAATGAATAAATAACGTTCTTCACAATTGTAAATTTTATTGATCAGTTGTCATTTGGTAAACGCTGTGGTTCTCCTTTGATGTTTCTTGGTCACGTCTGGCGGATTCGCTGAACGTGAACTTCTATGTAGGCTCGGTTACCTCTGTCATTATGTCATCGAATAGCATCCACCAGCTGACTCGTACCCAGTCGCTATTAATCGACGGTACTAGAGTTGTCCAACCTTGATAGACAGCGACTGGGCACGAGTCAGACTGAGCCTCCAGCACTGGCGGTCTGACAAGGTATCTCCTGTCACTGTGTAAATGTTTCCACAGAACGACTCATACCCGCTACCAATACCCCTTGGTAGCGTAACCTTTAACGTGAAGGAAGAGTATACACAAAGTGATGCATAATATAATTTCTTTATTTTTTTTATTCGAATGCTATTGATTTTTAACGTAATCGGTTAATGTTACTACAAACAACGCAAACATTCTATCAGACGCTGTATATCAATATGATCTACAGTATTACTAGATGAATATAAAAAACGTGCCACTGTTTATTAAATCTACAACTGCAAATACAAAAATACGTGTTACTACTATGCCAAACTGACATCAAATAAAACTCAAAACGAAACAATCGAACTAAGAAACGTTGACCCCCTTAAACATAAAACAAAGTTAAATCAAAACACAGTTGACTGTCCCCTCAAAATAATCAATCAATAATCAATTCGAGCAGGACGTAATTTAATTCCAAAAATCATTGCGTCGTAAACGGTGTCGATGAAACAATATCAGTACCAGGTTAAGATCCGTTCAAAGATCGACCACAAACACTGCAGTCGCATTCTATGTCTTCGCGAAGATTCTGCTTGTAGAAGACTTCACTTCCGGTCAAGTCCAGCGTGCGCTTTTCTATATTCTTGAAAATCTTGGCTGATTCGCCACTTCCGGTCTTCACGCACGTCATTGGGAAAAGTGTCATCTTGGTCTTGGTAGCCTTGCACTCATCAAGGCAGCGAAGGACTGGGGTGGTTGGGTAGCAGTTATAGTTCTGTTCTTCGATGGTTTTACTTTCCAGAACGTGCTGTTTCTTGAAATGACAGCCACCTAAAAGAACAAGTGTCCGTCCTAAGTATGGAGTGACAACGAAAATCTTCCTCACGTCAGTGCGTTTTATGACTGGCCTTTGTAAACGGTTTTAAGCCTCATTAATAATTCATTAAGTGAAACAAAGGAAATTATGACCGTATCATGACCGTAAAGCCGTGGTCAAACGTTGCATTATAGTGCATAATAGTTCATTCTCCCTTACCTATCGGCAACTATCATATGCGCGGGAAAAGCTATCATCGTCTGTTATGAAGAATTTGAACAAGCTCAAAGTGAATGGCAGTTGATGGTAGTACATGAGAGTTGGTGGTCAAATGTAACGGAAGCGTGTTCACTTTCTACAACTATCATCAACCATCACGCGCCGTTTGACCAGGGCTTAACGGTATTTGGATATCTGAACTTAATTAGCAAATTTTATTTCCCCGCTTTGTCTTCGAAAATTTAAGGTGGCTCTGAACTCCATATACAGAATTTTTTTAAACTTTGCCAAAAGTTGCGTCTTTTCATGCTTATCAAAAGTTGATGATATAAAAAAATTTCGCCGTGCCGTTTTTGAATTATAAGCCCCTAAAGCTGTTATTAAGTGTGATTTTAGGAGGTCATACTGTTGCCATGGTTACCTATCGCGTCACCAAAAGAATAACAACGTGTTCACCAATGATTGGGCAGTTTTTTGATACCATGATTGTAGCATCAAGTGATAAAGAGTGGTTATAACGACCCATCAAAATCTAAGTGTTAGAAACCGTTTTGAGCCACCTTAAGTAGATATATTCAACAATGACGATCGTGTTTGACCACATTTCTAAACAAGCCGAAGGTCGTCAAAAATACTCCGCTATGCCCCGTATTTTCAAATCTCTTCTTGGTGTTTGGAAATGTGGTCATACACGGTCTTTCGTGCTTGAACACGGCGGCCATACTCAAGCTGATAGGTCGGCCGAGGCATGCAGCCTTAATTTACAGCGCACATCTTTGATATTGGACATCCATGTTATGGTCAATTGACACCTTTTAAAAAGGTATCCACTGACCAGCATCACGTGAGCATATCGCGGACTCAGGTTAAGCGCTCATCGAGGTCACGTGTTTTTTGAAGTTGACCGCTGCCCAGGTACTGGTTTTCGATTGGATCGTAGGCATAAGCCAGTGATAACTTATTGTAATTAGGAGCTCCGCTTTTGGACTTGACGAAATCTATTTATTACGAAACATACCTGTGAGGCACGTTTCTTCAGGCACCATCCACATGTTTCCATACTTGAGCCTGTCACGGCTAGTGTACTCCTTGCCCATGGGTGTTTTTAGATCACGGTACCACTCGGCGTTACAGTCGCCGCACATACCGCACGTGCGGTTGAAAAAGTATGGAGAAACACGCACATCAATCTGTGGAAAACAAAGCAGATAACAAACGTGAACCCACACCCTGGTAAAAATCTCTTGCAAGACAGGATGAAAAGTAAATCCTAGTTCAAAATAGCGACATAACGTCATAAACGAAATGGCATAACAAGGACGTTATGTATGTGTTGTTATGTTTACAGGGTGAACATCCTGACACAATGACACAATAGCAACACTAACAGCATGAACACAACGACATAAAAGAAAAAAAACCTGATCTATTCCTAACGGCTTATGCTTTTATGTTGATGTTCAGGTTGGGACATAAGCTACCAGGTCGTTATGTCAGTATGTCGTTTATGTTGTTATGTCGCTGATTGTGCGTGAACCAGGCCTAAGAGAGTTAATGCTCCAAATAGCCCTTAAAAAGGGGTGCTTATTGGAAGGGGCGGGGAGCTAAATCGAATCATCACGGTTTTTATTTAAGCACCTTAGTTCCTCGAACCATCTCTACTTCCAAACCAGCATCGCATGACACATGTAACTCTTCTTTTTCTGGCTCCACGAAGATCGTGGCGACGTTCTTCAAGCGGTATGAGTTCTTAGGCATGTCGACAATCTCTCCGTTCACCTACAAGATACCACGATAAAATGTTACATTATTCTTCTGTGGCAATGTTGATTTCTTATATGGCATGCAAGCTCAGCAAGCGGGCAAGGAAAACCAAATCCTGCGCTGTGATTGGCTATCCGAACCAGTAAATTGCGCTTTATAGGGATTGCCCGCCGTTTCGCGATGGAACTGGTGTTCTTTGTCATTCTTACTTATGCCATGCAACAAATCCTTGCTTAGTCAAGCTTAGTCGGTCAAGCCGTATGACATCGCTCTAGTTTGCATGTTCATGGCTACGTCCTGGTCCATGAACTTGCAAAGACAGATCTTGACCAATATCCAGCTATTTTCACCTCACACTTCCAATAATTCATATATACTGAGCGTGCAGAACTAAGTAATTTCCCATTACATTCTACTCCATCCCTGAAAATGAATACTCTGACCACCCACTACAACTCGTAACTTGCTATTGCAATTCACAAGTTTAAAACCAACCTGTATTTGATAGCGGCCTTCTACCAAATGCTCGATACGTATCTTTTCCCTCTCGACAAATATTTCAATGACTTTGTTGTCGGGTATCTCAGTTTCTTTGGACATCAGCACCATGAATACGTTGTTCTTTGTGCAGTCTTTCGCCAGTACGTGCGTGCAGTGGCCTGGTAACGAGTACTGGAACTCGACGTCATCGAATGTCTTGAATGAGTCATGGTCCACGGTGCAGACCGCTGAAAATCAAAACATAGCACAGTGGTCAAACGTACAGTGCATGTGCAGTCCAGGTCAAAACGACGGCTGTAAAGTGTTGCAGCTTGTCTCAAATTTATCAAATTTCCTATTTTCAAGCCAAAAGTTAAGACATTCACTGAAGATGCAAGCTTCTAATTTAAGTGCTGATTATATTAATTGAACGTTTTACTTTACTGCTTGATAAGTAATGCTACAGTATTCATATCACGTGCACGTCTCGTGAAATCTTCGGGTGCATCAGCTTTTACTCACGTGCAGCAACTGCCAGCATGTGCATTAGAGTGCTGTGGTAGTTGGAACCACGTGGTATAAAGCCATCTGTTTCAAATTGGACGTTATCCATTTTTAGCAGGCAAGTTGGTGTTTTAACTTCAAGGTCCACAAGTTCTTCAGTTCTGAATTTCACTGTGAAGTCAACTTTGTTTCGCTGAATCTGACCCCGTCGGTAGTCACTGAACCTGTGGAGTACATATAACACACAATTTGTAAGTAATATTAAAGTTACTTAGATCAATCACACACAACTTTCACAGGTCTACCAGTGAAATGAACTATTCCATCAACAACCTCGTTCCCAGAGTTTCTCTTCTTTCCTCTCCCCAGAGACCCTGGGAAGGAGTTTGTTCCATCAAGACTGTCTTCAAAACACCATAACCTCGAGACCGAAATTATGATTGTTATAGTTGAGCAATTGCCTTTGAAGTCATGATAATCATAATTTCGCGGCATGCGTAATGCGCAACAAGAAGTCCACGGAAGAACTTAGTTAACAAGGACCTCAACCAGATTAGACACTTAATTATTTTTACATGACGGTCATTTCGACTTAGTTTTATATATTTCAAATAATCAAAAGAAAGATTTTTTGCGGACACTGGGAGTGGAACCTAGGAAATTCGACTCAGGAATTCGATTCGACAAACCCGAATTTTTTTCACTATGCTATACTGCAAGCAAAAACTATGAACAATTCTTTCAAAAGTCGAAAGGCTCGTTAGTTTAGTAAACTCAGCCTAACCTTGGTTAGTTTTCACATTACTGATCAATCTGATCAATTTACCTGTCGTAATATTGTCGAGTAAACTCCTTCAGAAGCTTGTAACACAACTTCAGCAATGTATCCGGGATCTTATTATATGACGTCACCCAGCTCAGTTCTCTGCGGCCGGGTTCTTTGATAGCTATACGGGACTGGGAATGAGTTGAAAAAATGATTAAGAGGAACCTTGGACAAAATATTCGTTTATCTAGTGGAGTTTTTGAAAAGGTTATCACCTACTCACCTGAAATTTGTAGTCTTCACAGTCTTCGCCAAAACTCAAGTTAAACCTGATTTCCTGGCTGGTGATCACGTGACTGTTGATGCAGACCTTTCGTAACCATGGATACATGTTATACATATCAATAGTGAAGTCGGTTTTCTTGTTGTCTACGTCATATTTGATGTCAGTTTCAATCTTTTTCTCTGGGTTGGTACCTACGAGTTTCATTCCTGCCTTCCATGTATGGTATTGTTCATCAAAGCGGTCTCCCTTACCAAACTAGAGCAGGGAAATTCAAGAAGAGATTTTATCAGTCAAACTGCTTTAATTCAGTCACTAGATAAAGACAATTCTTAGTCAGAAGTTGCCTTTTTGACAAATTGTCGCGAAAGCATTCAGAAAATCTTCAATTGTTATTATTCTAGGAAAAGATGGGGCTCCTTCTTGATGTAGACGACACAGGACAAGTCACAATAAAACACCACCTCACAAACCTATTGTTTTTATTATATTCCTCATTCTTTTGTCCTTTCTTTCTCTATTGTTTTACGCCAACTGTGTCTTCTACACCGAGTAAGAACAAAAAATGGCCGATCTCTAGAAGTTATCCCTGAGTTGTGACGTCAGCATGACGTCACGCTCATGCATCATGTTGCTTGTCTTACATGACATACTAATCTTAATACTCTTTTTCAAAATAACTTATACTGCTTTACCGTAAACTGGATCTTCTGGGTTGGATTTTGACCCGGTTTGATAGAGACGTTGTACTTTGTTGGACCACAGAACGGGAAAACAGGCGCATGGGGCATCAATGGTTCAATATATTGACCACTCAGGCACACATCAAGACCAAGCATTCGTTCTCCGTAACATAGCTCCTACAGAAGAAAAACAAACAAATAAGAAACGTTTGAGTTCTTTCAGTATCAGCATCGTCCGTTTTTTGGTGGGCCTTTTTTCCCATATTGTGCTACTTCCAATGTTAAACCAATATCGCTAGCTATTGCTAAACCAATATCGTGTTGCTTGCAAACCAAGGAAGAAGCACTGTGGACTAATGGTTAGCGCGTGGACTCTGAATCAAAAGGTTCGAGTTCATTCCGTTTTTTTGGTGGGCCTTTTTTCCCATATTGTGCTACTTCCAATGTTAAACCAATATTGCTAGCTATTGCTAAACCAATATCGTGTTGCTTGCAAACCAAGGAAGAAGCACTGTGGACTAATGGTTAGTGCGTGGACTCTGAATCAAAAGGTTCGAGTTCAGCCCTTCGGTCCACTGCGCTGTGGTTTTGAGTAAGATAGCTAACTGTTGCAGTGCCTCCTATCGACCAAGAGTAATATGGGCACAGGAAAAAGGTCGGAGGTCGCCTACGATGGAATAACACCCCATCCAGGGAGAGTACCAAACCGGGGGGAGACTCCCATGTAAAATGGACGGGGGTGCTCATCAGAAGTTTTGAAAAGAACCCCTAATAGGTACCAAGCTCCTCTTTGTGTGGGCGTGGCTTGAAACTTTAATTCACCTCTAAGAGGTACCAATTTTAAAGCAACGCATTATCTCCCGTCATATTTGTTTCGGCTCAGTACCCTAAAAGGTACTGCAAAAGCTGCTGCTGTGGACCTTTTGAGGTTGAACACATTTTTAACCTTTAAAAGATACGACGAGCACCCCTGTTCTTTTTAAATGGGAGTCCCC